GTATTGTACGTGCTCTCTACCTAGCAAGTATAGTAATGTACTCGTTCTAGTATCGTTGTATATGTTCTCTTTCTAGTATAGTTGTATATGTTCACATAGTAGTAAGTATTGACTCATGAATGAACTGACTCATAGTATGGTATTGTGTTCTAGTAATAGTTCTAGTATCTTCCTAAACTACCCATATGGTAGTTTACTAGTAATCTAACTGGTACGTATGGACATGGATGTACACCCTTGCTACCCAAGGGCATGGGATGAACTGGAAGGACCCTTTTATGACTATATATGTACACATGATATATAACTAATATTTAAACGACTTTCGGACGAATACCCTTTATCCCACTAGACCACATCTCAAGCGCGAAAAGGAAATAGGGTGGATAGCCTTCCTAAGTCTTTTAAACATTTCTTATATAAATATACATATAGAGGCATGAAATTTATAATATAAAAGCATAAACAAGTTTGGTAAAAACATTTGAAACATAATTATTATCTTAAGAAATGACCGACTTGATGCCAATCTATAAAACAATTTGAAGGCATGGGTTTGATAAAACAGTTTAGTATAAAGAAACATTTGTTTGAAACACAGTTGTAAATAAGTTTGAAGTATGATATACAGAGTAAACTGTACAATGTAATAAGGAGTTTAAAACATATAAAATGTTTATAAAAATCATTTGAAGTAACGGTTTGGTAAAACGGCTAATGAGTAGCCAAATCATTTGAATGTTGTATATTAATCACATGTGATTGATGTAATAACTAGCATAATTCTACTTATTAATCGCATGTGATTGATATAATAACTAGCATGATTCTACTTGTATCCCCCCATAAAACATTTAAAAATAGTTTAAAACATTATTTAAGGGGTATGAACTCACCTGCAGTATGTGACTGGAATTGAACGGACTGTTATCGTAAGGAAGGATCGGACAAGTGCTCGGTGTCAAGTGAAGACTTTAGACACACACAATGATCCTAATTACATATGAAGACATATGTATATAAATAATTAGTGATTAAAACACTAATTATACAAGTATAAACATTTAAACGCGAGGAAAACACCTTTGGTCAAGTGCTAGGAGGCTAATGGGTTGCAACAAAGGAGTGCAATGCCCCTAATGGGAGTTTATGGTCTAAAGACCATATGTTTTGGAGTTTACAGACCAGGGGAGTAAACTCCTGGCCGTAAACTCTCAACCAAGTCTCTAAATGAAGCTTAGAATTATTACAACTCTAGTGGTGAATTGTTTTAAGGTTAAATCAAGTGTTTGGGTGCCATATTAACTCCTTTAAGGAGTTTACGGCCTTGGGACCATATTCCCTTGGAGTTTACGGCCGTAAACTCCCTTGGGAGGGTGATTATGGTGTTTTCAAGTCTCAAACATTTCAAGGTAATGATCTATGTTGGGTTCTAGTCATAAGGAAGGAGTTAGGGTGTCATTTGACCCCTTTATAGGTGTTTACGGCCCAAGAGTTTGTCTTGGCCGTAAACTCCTCAATACTAGTGATTTCTTATGTTTTCTAGGCTTTAAACACTTTAGGGTACTTGTCCTCAATTAAACCTAAGCCTTAGGAAGTGTTTCAAAGCATTTTGGGTACTTAAACATGGAGTTCACGGCCCAAGAACTCCTTGGCCGTGAACTCACTTTCATCATTGTTTCCTAATGATTTCGGTGTCCTAACTATGAAATGAAGGCTTCTAGTTCGAGTTCTAAAGCTTTGAGGGTCATTGGAACCCTTTAGGACCTTAAAATGGAGTTTACTCCCCAAGAATGTTCTTGGGCGGTAAACTCCCAAGTCTAGTTGTTTTGATATGTAATTGATGTTTCTAAACATAATCTAAGCTATATAACATAACTAGATCGAAGTACTCACAATTTGGGATATAAACCCGAAGATCCGTGAGAGAGAATTTTGGCTTTTCTCTAATTGGAATTCAACTAATGAACCATTTGGTTCAGTTTTCTATATATAGTCCTGGGATTTTGGCAGAAAATATTTCTATTCTCGGAATGAACTCTAATATCCTAGAGTATTGGAATAACAGTGTTGCACAAAACCCTAGTGCATCCACTCTCCTAATATCTCCTTAAGTGTAAAAAATCCTGAAAACTGCCAAATTTATACTCGAAATCTGAGTTTTCACTGTAACTGTTCTACTTCTATTGGCTTCAAATGGTTTGTTCAGAATGGAAATTTCGGGTTGTCACATTCCAAGCTTCAAGTTCCTTGCACCAACTTCTCCTTCTACAAGAACACCAAAAAGGCACACAAATGAGCTCAAAACACTCTTCTCACTTAGGGTTTGCTAGAGGGTCGAACTCTCAGATATGGGCTGATGAGAGAATGATAAATGAGGCTATAATGGTGTTTATCTATGGACCAAACCCAAAAAATTAGGGTTTGAACTTCCTACATGTATGCCCTATGTACGAGGTGTATGCCTAAGGTATTAAGGTTTGCCCTAGTATGCTCAGTGTACACAACGTACGCCCAACGTACTACCCCACCGCCCAAATTTAACAAAATGCCACTATAGGCCATTTTGCATTCTTTCTTATACTCAGTAACTAAAATGCAAAAATTATTCGTACATAGAGTTACAATTGGAAATACCTAACATCAAGATGTTACAAATGAAGGATTGTAGATTTTTACAATGGACGCACATGAACCGAATTATAACAAAACTGACATTCTTTTTTCGTTTAAATTTTTTTAGGCTATGTTTTTTATCGAAAAAAAAAACCGAATATATCATTGTTCATAATTTTTTGTTGTCTTTCCATAGAGATTCATATTGATATACAAAAAATGATTTTTTTTTTCAAAAAAACTCATTTCATTTCTTTGTTTTTTGAAAAGCTAAGGTCTAATTTTTATCGAAAAAATTTAATAAATATACCAAAATTCATATTTTTTTGGTACTCTTTAAACATAGATTCATATTTACGTAAAAAAAAGTACAAATTCATATTGTAGATCTGAGTATATTCACAATGTTAATAATTGTAAGTCAGATTTACCTTATGAATGTTAAAATTGAAATATTTACAGTTCAGATTCACAATGTGAATCTGAACTAATCGAGTTTTTTTTAATCGTTGATGATATTTATTAATATAGACAAAAAAATTGAGATTTTTTCTATAATTGTTTTTTTTTAGAAAAAATAAACTTAAATATTGAAAAAAAAAACAAACAAACAAAACAAAGTGGGGTTTTTTTTAAAAAAAAAAAATTATATATCATGGTGGATCTCTATGGAAAGATGACGAAAAATTATGAATAACGGTGTATATTCCATTTTTTCGATAAAAAATGTGGCTTAAAAAAATTTTAAACGAAAAACAAAAAGTTGGTTTTTTAATAAGATGTGAGTTTTATGGTATAATATGGTGTATGTGCATCTAATGTACAAGTGTACATTCATTTCCTTGGTCGTTGATCGTTTTAAATTCCAAGGCTAACGATTGGTTCCTTATTAATAATGGCTCTCTATTGGTTGGCATAGAATGTAATTTGATTTCTGTTTGGTTTGCTGATTTCACAAATGAATTGGAAAATAAATTTTGTAATATGATATAAATACCCTTTAATGGCTTTTTTGTACCTTATTAGTATAAAAAGGAATTAAATGATGTTTTAAAAAGCAAATTTATCAAGCACAAATGTAAATGAAACTAAAAAATTACAATTGTTAACTTCATTTTGTCATTATTGGTTATCAATCATGGCTTTTAGTAATTTATGGAATTTAATCTTATCTTTTCAATTAAAACAAACACTAGTGGTAAAATGAGTGAACACAAAAAGAAAAGAAAAAAACTACGTTGGCAAATAAAGAAAATACCACTTAGGCAAAAACACAAACACTTGGTGTGCATAATTATAAAACGGTTGATTGCACGTCCCCAACAGGAAATCCAAACCAGAAAATCTATACGTATACATGTAAAGAGAATATTGATACCTTATAAAAAAAAAGCAAGATGAAATAGAACCAGAGATGAAGAAGAGATGATGAAGTAGAGATGAAGTATAGTAGCACAAATGTAACTATATTATGTAATTGTCTATCACAAAAAGATGAAAGAACAAACGAAAATGTATAAAAACAATAATAAAACACAATTGATTGCAGAAAATAGAAGGATTTGGGTCTTACTTGTGAATGAAGACGATACAGAAATGACGACCCACAGAAGATACGGTAGCACAACAGCAATGATAAATAGATGGAATCGTTTGGAAAATACCGGTTGCAAATATATATATATAACCGAGAAGAAAACGTAATCGTAGAAGTGATATGTAAATCACGTAAATGATTTTTTTTCCTGATTTCACGCATAGACAATTGGAGGATAGTTGTGTAATTTAAAATAAAGATAATGAATTGAACGTAAATTCTTGTTGAACTGTGAAAAAATTATTAATCTTTCAAATATGGAATTGAATCATTATTATGGAAATCTAATTCCTTTTGTTTTGTTAGCCAAACACGTTTTTTACCGGAATTTAAGTTCCAATTCCCTTTAATTCCTTTGGATTTTACATTTTACATAAATTATCCTTATAACTTTGTTTCGTTTTGCTCAGTTTAGTCCTCATGCGAACCCTCTATTTTGAATTAAAATATCGCTATTAAATAGAAGGTAAGAAACCATTAAAACACGAATCAGATACAAACTTAAATGACCAAAACCACAATAAAATATATTCATAAAAACCATCTCCACAAAATTAAAAAATCACGACTGAAACCTCTAACTTCTTGACAAGCACTTGCAAATGTAAATAATCACAGAATATAAAAAACATTCCTTTTTTTTTTTTTTTTTTTGTGATCAGTGGACAGCTCTGGATTGAGATTCGAACTTTGGCCACTCAAAAAGTGTTTAAATCCAAAAGATCAAAAAAGTGCTTCAATCCAAAAAATCACCCCGGTGATATTTCCAAGTTCATTTCATTCTTTCGTCATCCATCCATAATATAAAAATAATTATATTTAAGAGCATTTCTAAAACTGAATATAATAAACATCGTCCCCAATCATAAATGAACATTTCAAGTAAAATTAAAATCCCAACATCAACATAATCAAACTACAAACCAAAAATAAAACATAACATAGAAATGATATGATATGATGAAATCATAAAAAAGGGTCTAAAATGACCCACGCCAGCCCAATCCCATAGCCCAAACCGGTCCCCTAACCATATCCCACATCACCGGTTCAAAAAAACCCGAGAGCCCAAGCCCAAGCCCAATTAACCATCATGACATCATCACCTGGCCTCATAAGATTCCAATACTTGCCATATCCCATATGTCACGTACCTAACTAGATTAGCCACGTGGCAACTGTTTCAAACACTCTGAACAAAGATACTCCAATGAAAACGTTTCTTCATACTCACTATTGTGCACACACCTCCCACATTCACAACAACGAGGTATGCAAATTATGCAAGCCCTACAAAAATCAGGACATTCATCTTTCTTTTCTTGACAGCTGTCACCTGGACAATCGTAAACAAGCCTCAGATTTTGACATCTAGGGCACACTTCAACATCTATTGCTCGATCATCATCCGATTCTGAATACAAATTCCCACGATGATAATAACGCGGATTCAGATCATTATCGCGATCGTTTTTCTCAATTCCCAAAAGTTGTTTCAATTCTTCAAAGTGTTCGATTGTTATTCCATAGAATCCACCTGTTCTTATATGTCTGATTCCACCCGATTCAGCAATTGAATTGAAGGATTTTAGATTGTTCAAGATTCCCTCGATTGTAAGTCTCGTGCATCCTGGAACAGATAACTATACGAAAAAGTAAAAAGATTGAATTACATAAAATCGTGGAGTAGAAATAGAATTACAATAAAAAAAGTTGAAATAAGATTGAATAATTGTTTGTTTACCTTGGTTAACTTTGGATTGGTTTTGAGAACACGTTTGAGAGCATCATCGGTGATTTTGGGGCATTTTATTAAGCTGAGACAATGCAGATTACCTTCAGCCCTATTGGTTAACTGAACAAGAATGTCGTCGGTGATTCTTTCATTCAATGGCTGATCGATGTGAAGATTTCTCCATAAAAGAGAATCGTTACGAATGGTGGAACATAAAGATCTACAAACACGTTCCACCAATAAAAGGTCTCTAGTTTGAAGATAACTAAGAGCTAGAACAAAAGCCTCGTGAGGTTCTCCTCCAATAACATCAGGACAAGATGACGAAATATTTACAAATTCTTCAGATTTTGGGACAAGAACACTTGGACTCCCATGATCGAAAGACATTATGACATCTACATTGTGTTGATCTTGATCAACCATCGTATATGATGTTGGAGTGGGAGTACGAGTAGGAGTAGGAGTAGGATATTTATCTTGATACATGAAATTGGTAGGAAAAGATTGGAACCTCATAGCACTGCTCCAAAAGAAATTAAAACCTGCAAATAACCCGTAATCTTCCTTGTGATTTGTGATTCTGTTCCTCATGTAATCGCCATATTCCATTTCTAAATCACCCAGCCATCCTGTAATGGCGGTAAAAGTGGTACTGATGTCAATCTCCATGCCAAATGGATCAGATGGCAACATGTCAATGATATCTTTTGATACAGAATCTGGTGAGCCACTCTTGTCGATTATCTCTCTTCCATGGCTGAATCGATCATGTAATTCTCCATGAACATGACCATGTCTTGGCTTTCCATAACCATCTCCCCCTTTATCCGACATGCCTTCGACACCATACCCACCGTTCACCATTCTCAGTGGCGAAACCAAATTGTCTTCCGACGTATGAGCAGGGAAAATCGGACGCTGAGAAAAATTCAATGCCATTTCCTATAACCCTAATAAGAAGTTGTGATTTCGCCGGAAATGAAACCGAAATCGAGGAAACTGGGACGAACTAAACGACAAAACGAAATAAGAAAAGAGGAAGAAGTCGCTGATATTTTTAATCGTTTTATTTTTCAAACTTTTTATTTTGGGGATGATTACCTATACCTAAAGTAAACAAAAGTAGAACATACGTAAGATATTAACAAGAAAACCCTCAATTTTGGGGGCAAACTAAAACAACGCGCCAAAATTTCACAGAGTTTCTTGTATCAGCTATAATACAAAATATAGACCGCGTGAGATGATTAAAAACGAACACTGTACAAATAAAGAATCAACGAATAATAACGCCCTAACGTTCAAAACCGATACCTAAATTGACGTAACCAGAACACAAAAACCAATCCGAAAGAACGGAATCAAACAAATTAACAAGTGGAAGAACACAACCTGATTGAAATACCAAAAAACCCAAACTTTTACTCCAAACGAACGCCAATCGACAGAGTTTGAACAGAGAGAGAGACAACAGAGCCAGTGTCCGTGGATCGAATTAATCAAATCGCCTTTAGCGTCGATATTCTATCGAATGAATGCAGATGACATGGAAGGAATGGAATGGAATAGAAATTGGATCCGATATGGAGGAATCTGTCGATGGAGTCCGAAGATTTCTAGAGAGAGAGGGGGAGGGAGAGAGAGAAAAAAGGAAGGAAGGGGGTAATGTGTAGAGAGAGAAAGAGTGTGGGAAAAGAGATGAAGGGAATTGTGTTGTAGGGAGTATTACTATGACTAGAAGAGGTGGATACCGACACGTGTCTGGTTGGTAGGGTTTTACTGCTTCTTCGATATAAGATGTGGCGGGAGTCCAAAACTGAAAACTCCAAATCGATCTATTTTTGCGCCTCACCGTTCGTCATGAAAAGTTACCGGTCACCGGTAAATACCAACGCCATGGTAATTAATGGTGAAAAAGAACTTGTGCCTCTATTTTGCTGGACCTCACTTCCTATTTTTCCTCTTTTCTCATTGAATACGTATGCAAAAAAAAGGTGTATAAATTATTATTTAAAAATTTCAAGTAAATTGGTTTAACAATATAATTTAATGGTTTGATTTGATAGCTTAAATATTAGTATATAATTTAAATGGTTGATGTCTATCTTTTATATTTTAAATACGATGGTTTGAACTTTTTGTACTTTATCTATTTTTATCATTGTCTTTGATTTCTAGATCCAATGTTAATGTAACTAAACCAAATCTGTTTGTATTGGTTTGGTTTGTCAGATCATTAAAAAGATATTATCAAAATCAATTCATATTTATGGTCAAAAGTATAAACTTTAAAAATAAAATTTGATAATGTTACTTAAATAGTATTTGTTTTTTGTCTGCAGATCTGCATGATCTCTTCTGTCTGCGCCGTGCAGACCACGTGCAGACATTAGCCTTCACAGACTGTTTGTTTTTTTGAAAACTGCAAATCTAAAAATGTTTGCGCGCCCTCTTCTTGGCGCAGATGTGAACCAGATTCTTCTAACATCTTCAAACAACTTATAGCCTAAAAAACATATATATGTTTATTTTTTAAAGTTTTTTTTTTTTCAATTTATAATTTTTCTAACTTTATTAATGATAAACAATTTTGAAAAAAAAAATACAAAACTTTAAAAAAAAAAAAAAAAGTTCGACGATACAAACATGATATTTTTGACAAATTTATAAATAAAGATTGATTACAATAATAGTCGTTGAACTTGTTTATATAAATATGAAAAAAATCATAATATATTCTTATATTTTTTGCCAAATTTTATAAAACATTATTTAATACAATATCGTCAATTTCTCGAGAAAATATTTATGATACGTTTTTAATGGATTTATTTGAAAAAATCGAAGTTTATTTCCATCCATTTATGTATTAAATTCTTTGATCACTAATTATAATGTTTAGTTATAACTTTACAACCAAAGTTGTTGGTTTTTATCAAATATATACGTTAATTCATATCATTTTTATTTTTATTTTTTATATAATAATACATAAAATTTGATCTAGATTTATCAATTATTTATAACAAAGTCATAAAAATATTAAAATATCACTTTGAAGTTTAAAAAAATCAGTTTATTTAGATTTCCGTTTATTTAGTAGCCCGCAGATGTTAAAAAAACAAACAATCTTCTTTTTTCAGACTGCAGACGTTTGGTCCACCTCTTCTACTGTAGATGTCTACAAATATGGTCCATAGACTGCAGACATTTTGCCTCGGAAAAAATAAACAACACCTAACAAACAAAAGGTTATCTATGTCATATTGAATATTTACGGTTTTTTTTTTTTTTTTTTTTTTTTTTTTTTTTTGTGTGTGTGCAGATCTGTGCAACCATTTTTATCTGTGTCGTGCAGATAACTTGCAAACATATGCCCTTACAGAGTGTTTGTTTTTTGGAAGTGCGCAGATCAAAAAACGAATGTGTGATGTCTTCCTTACGCAGACATGAGACACTGTCTTCAAAGGTCTTCACGCCACATTTTAACATAAACAAAAAAAAAAAAAAAAAAAAAAAAACGTCGCTTATCTTTTTTGCTGAAAATGATTTTTTTATGTTTATGACATGAAATTAAATTTGAAAAAACAGTTTATTTTAGACTGCATACATTTTGTCCACTTATTCTGCTGCAGCGGCTTGCAGATATGATCCGTAGACTGTAGACATTTTGGCTTAAAAAAAACAAATAGTACCATAGTTGTCCTATATACAAGTTTACATATAAACTATATTGAAAATATATAATATTGGTTTCCTTAATGTGAATACTTTGAAATAGTCTAAAAATCATTTTGGTTTAGTAAAGACTTACGGGTGAGCAATTGGCCTGGTTGGACCGACTCGGATTGGGACCGGTTTTCATCAACGGAACCGGTTTACGGTTTTGGATATTATCTTATATCGGTTACATGTATAAACATGTCTGGTGCCTCCGGTTCAGGGTAAATAAATGTGAGGACACCAAAGTTGTTCTTTTCTGTAAATTATCGTAATTTCTTTTGTTCGAATAGGAACACATTAAACTTTTTTCAAAATCTAGTTTACAGTTCGTACTTCATTTTAGACTATAGAAACAAATTAGTTGATTGCATATTGATTGAGTTATAGATACCATAACACATGATATCAAAGTTGAATTGTTTTCTGTTTCAACATTATGCACAATATGTTCTCTTCTTTAAATTGTCATAACTCTTTCGTTTTGAATTCAGAATGACATGAAAGTTTTTTCTAAAATGCAGTTTATCGTATGCACCTTATCGTAGATTGTAGAAACACGTTATTTGGTTGCACATTTATTGAGTTACAGTTCGCGCGGAACACAGGGATGCAAATGTGAACTAGATTGGCTTAGGTTCACTGAACTTCTGTGCGAGAGCATGTCCTGAATGCACCTACGGTCGACTAGAAAAGTTTAATGATCTTTGCAATTATTTTATTTTTCATAACTAAATTTGTATCATTTATAAACCCATATTAAAGGCAATTAATCATATATTTTGCTTTTTGATTTCTTGATTAATTATGCTCTTTAATTTTGACAATTATGTATCAGTGTTTAAGACATCAGTTACATTTTGTTGTGTGTGTTTGTATATATATATATATATATATATATATATTATATATATATATATATAAGACATCAATTACATTTTGTTGTGTATGTGTGTGTATACGACACCTCAGTGTCAATGAGATACACTAAATGAACCAATTACTTATTCCTCTCATCCAATTATGCTTTTACTTTGTCCTCGATCTTGCTGCAAACCTTTAACACCCAGGTTTTCACACTAGGTACACCTTGATAAAATTTATTTTTATTAACAACTTTATAAAACATTTCGATGTACACTAGCATATTGGAATACAAGAAGTTGTCATCAGGAATCATATTGCATAAAGTACATGATATGAGTCGGGTGTTACAACAACCTAACTTAATACACAATAATAACAAACATCTTAAGTCATAAGTCTTAGTTAATAACAACTACAACGATATAGCAACATGTAACATCATTTAATGATTTAATTTATCACCCAAAATATACATCACATACGAGACACTAATTAAAATTTTACCAATTAGTTATTGTTTTCATTTAGTATGAAAACTATCATGTAGCAACACTGTTAAACTAACTAATATTTCATTGTTATCATAACCACCCTTTTTTGGGGAGTTCTTCGACCAAAGTAAGTATCTCATGTTCACTTTTCATTATATATGTCAACTATCACATGAACTCATTACAACAGACTAATATGTTATATCCTTTCAACAACACATAATATAATAATATCACAATATATTAAATTATCATATTTGTATAACAATACACATCGATAAATCTATAGTGTTAAAGTCGAGTTACCCACCTGGTTAGTTAGTGAAGACTAACTATGATTATGATCTCCAACTTTTTACCACATTCCAATCCATCACTTGTCCAAACCTACTTGAACAATATATCAAGTTCATCTGAACTTGTCTAAGCTCACCATTATATCAACCATATCGATTAATAATCTAATCACTAACTAAACTTGGTAACCATTTGTTCCCAAACTAATAAATTTCCAAATAAAGTTATCTAACGACTTAACCCTATAAGCCATAAGCCCACTAGACAATCTCTAGTAAACTAGGGTATATAACCCTTACCGATCAAAATAAACATTTAACTGGTCATCAGGTTCGAAATAGCACCATATAACGAATTTCGGTAACATATACTTGGGTCTAATAACCCTCTACGAAATAAATATTCCATAAACGTATTTACGTAACAATGGTAAGAGACGCGTCGCGCCGCAGTGACAGAGTGTTCTCCGGTTTTGTCACATTTCATTGCTCCGCCACGCGTCGCTCTCTAAGTGACATGTGTCCTTATGACTCACTTCATCTCCGCATGGTGGTGAGGACTATGTCGCAGTGAGCCGCCGTTAACCGTTTGACTTTAACTTTAGTTGACTTTCTTGAATATCAACGTACTCTTATCTCAACTTCGAACGACTATAACTTTCTCATACAAATTCCATTTT